AATTTTTATTATTTTTTCCCACCCCCTCCCCTTCCCCGCGTAGGAATTTTCACACGGCCAAAACGGCTTTTCCCGACCCCAATCCCGATGCAGTGCCAGGCCGGGGGGCCCCGGGGGCTGGGCGGATTTGGGGGCCCCCCCGCGGCCCAGTCGCCATTCCGGGTGTTTTCTCTTTCGCAGCGGGGTTTTCAGCGCAGCCCTGCAACAGGAAGCGGTGCCGCGGGGGCCGCGCTCCCGAAAAGCCACCAGGGCCAAAGGGCCCTTGGAAAAGGCACTGCCAGCCGGGCACGAGCGGCCGCCGCCCCCCGAGCACCCCGATTTGCGCGTTTCTTCCCCMAAAGCGGGATCTGATGAGGGCGGGGAACACCCAGCAGCAACTTTTGCCTCCCTGCTTGCTCGGAGCAACCGGGATTTGTACTAAAGCGGTGGCCGGGCTGTCCCCACCGCGGCTGAACCGGGGGTGCAGCCCTGTTTCCTGCAGCATTTCCCTATTCCCTCGTTTTCTTCGGCTGGGATGCAGGGCTGGCCGCAGCGGGAGCTGGCACAGCCCGCGCRGTCCCTCCCGGCCACGGCCGGACCRGGCGAGGAAGTGTTTTATTTCCCCCCTTATAACTGGATTTTGCCGCCCGTGTTTGGAGCCTTCGGCTCTAATCCTCTTTTCTGCCATATGGCCGCTGAAATCTGACTCGATTAATCGCTGMGAGGAAAAGCCTCCCGGGCCGAGGATGCTCCGAGCAGCAGCCCTCGCCCAGCCCCAAAGCTGGGCACCGATTTGGGCTGTAAAAAGGGGCTTTTTCTGATTCATTTTCTATGGGGGTGTCGCGAGCCCTGCTGCCATCTCGCCTGGCTCCGTCGCTTGTGGATAAAATCCTGGCGGGCTGGAGATGCCTCTGCTGGGCACTGATGGAGAGGAGGCCTTTGCCACCCATCCGTATCCCTGCAACGAAATAAAATAAATAAATACAAATTCATATYCCTGCTGCGGTGCTCCAGGGCTGCGTGGCCCGCAGGCAGTGCTGCCAGCCAAAGCAGGAGCCTGGATTTTTTCATTATTATTATTATCATTATTATTTTTCTTGCATCTTATCTTGCATCTCTTCTCGCTGTTCCTCCCCTTCTTGTTCTGGGGGTGCCGGGAAGGAAGTGTCGCCCCAACACCTCTTTTTGGAGGGAACAACATGTCCAGGTCCCCTCCCAGCCCCGTGCGGGGCRGCCGAGCGATCCCGGTCCGGCGGGGCCACTTGCTGTGGGATGCGGGGCCACCGGCACCACGAGCGATGCTCTCGGCGTGCGTCCGTCCCTCCACGCTCCGTCCCCCGGATTTGGCACCCCAGGGTCGACTCGAGACACCAAACACAATTCCTCTGCAAGCTCTGTGCCAAAAAATAAGGAAMTATCCCTGCTGTGGGGTGGCAGCAAAGCTGATACCCCCTGATGCTCTTCACGAGCAGCTGCTCRAGCCCTGGACACCTCCTGGGCAGCAGATGTGCTGAAAGCTGCTCACGGAACCCAGCACCTCTAGTGTTCACCTCATCCCATCCTGCSCTTGCTTCTTGCATGTTAATTTTCCTCCCCCATTGCCTCTTGTGGTCATCGCAGCTCCATCTAATGAGTTGATCCCAAAGGAGATGCTGCTGTGGTGGGCGACTCAGCAGAGGGAAGCGGGATGAGATGCACTGGTTGGAAACTAGCCTGGTTTGTGCTCGGTTTGGGTGCCCAGATGTTGAGTGGTCGGGTTGCATCAACCCTTGTTCATCAAGGGTTGGCCATGGGCTTCACACTCCCATAATCTGCTATTTTGAGGCTTCTGCTCAGGCTGGATTTGGGAACAGAGGCATCATCTAATCATCAACTAATGCCCCACTTGATAAGGGCACTAATGAAGCTGGTCCTGAAGGAAGACTTTGGGACCTTCTCCCGTTGACCCATGATGGGATCCATGAATCATTATGGTTGGAAAAGACCTCCAGGATCATCAGGTCCGATGATAAACCCATCACCACCATGCCTATCATCCACAGTAAGACTGGGGTCCCTGCCTAAGAAAGCGCCTAGAGGTGCTTAGGGGACGTGTGGCACTTGATGGAGTTGAAACACAACCCAAACTAACGCRTATTTATGAAAAACAACCCATGCTGATGTGCATTTATGAAACCCAACCCAAGCGAACGTGCATTTATGAAACACAAGCCATGYTGATGTGCTTTCCCGACGTAACTAGGGAAAATCTCCCGCTCTGAGAGCACCGGGCGTTSAGCAGGAGCCAAGGAAGCCTCTCCGCCGGCGCGCGAGCATGGAAGTAGCTAGGCAACCCGGAGCGCTCCCGCTGACTGGCACGTTGGGGAAAATAGTGACACCGGCGTTTGGGCTGATTTCTGCACTAATTATAGGAAGGGCTTCTCAGCGCTGTCATCCGGCGCCGTGTCGCCGGCGGCTCCTCGCAGAACCGGCCCTCCTTCGGCAGGAGGAWAGGGGGGTTCTCTGCTCTTGGGATTTCAGCTTGGCACCTTGGATGCCATCAGGAGCTGCCTGGAGGAGCCGGTGGTCTGGGAGGCTCCTTGGGATGCTCCTGCCCGGTCCCTGTCCTCGTTGGAGTGCTTGGGGTTGGTGATCCTGAATCCAGCGGGTTCACAGGGGGCTTTTTCCCAGGATTTGGCCTCTGTGGTGGCACCAGTCCAACCTGCTGGGTTTCCATGTCCCCCTTGCCAATGCCACGCGTGGTCATGGGCTAAGTGACACCGTGTGTCACAGAAGCTGGACAGAGAGCCTGGAAGAAACCATGTTCACTTGACTGTTCCTGTCCAAATCTCATACAAGAGAGAATCAACAGGCACTGCAACCAGATAAAGCCCAAGAACATTTAAGAAGAGCAACAAATCCTCATTGTATCTCCCTGCCCAGGGGTGGCACAGGACCGCTTGAACAAGACTGGGTGCCCACGAGGCACGAGTCTGATGCATTTAAGGAAAAATCCACAGCCCGTGTGACACGGGATGCCAGACCCAGCGAGCAGGATGAGCTTTCCAGTGGTTTTGATCTCCACGGAGCCAGGATCACCTGAGTGCATTTCGCTGGCATGTTGAGTTCTTGGAGAAGCCGGGCTTTTCATGTCATGCTGGTTGACGAAGTGTCGGTCACTGCTGGATGCAAAGTGTTCGGGATTGATTTCAATCCCTTCCAGACAAAATGTCTTTAGTTGGACTCATTGCAGATAAAGGGAAACGAGATTAAAAAACAGGCATTGAAAATCAGGGAATGGAGCTTGAGCATGACCGGGGCTCTTGGAGCAAGGGGAGCTGGATGTGCCCCTCTTCTCCTGTCCCAAGGGTCTCCCTGGGCCTCMAAGCCTTTCCTGGTGGGATTGGTCCCATTGCAGCCAGCTCTAGGGCATGGGGCTTTGCGTAATCTTTAGAGAAGCAGCAAGGATGGAGAACAGATCCCACTCTCCCCCGGCCATCTTGGGGTTTTACATCAACCGAAATCGCTCTGATGGAGATTCCTCCATCCCCAATGTCCATCTTGKCAAGTCAGTGTGGACGTTGGCTCCTTGGAGGACGCTAAAGGACAGCGTGGATGTCCTGGGAGCCGGGCAGAACCTCACTTGTCACACTCTTCTGCCCACTCGTCCCCCACTCTGGACTCAGGTGCTCCTGGATGCTCCCAGGACGCTTGCATGGGACATCCAAGCCGCAGGGAGCCCAGGTCGTGCARCTTCATCCCGCGGGCGCTGCCGCTGCCTCCTCCTCCTCGCGCCAGCTCGCTAGCGTGGGCGGCAGCTGGATGAGGAGGTGAGAAATCCTGGAAGCGCTGCGCCTTTCCGCGACAGCTGGAGTGTGGATGCAGGAGTGGGACGGCGCTTTGCACACCCAGCTCCATCCAAAGCATGAGCAAGCCGGCCCGTTGATGTTCCAGCTGCTCTGGATTCCTCAGCACTTCCCGATGGGCAGACAGGGATTTGGGGGAACRGACTGAACTTTTTATGGAAGGCTTGGTTTGGGGCAAGTTCTTTGGTTTGTATAGGGCATGAAGAGGAGCCGGCATCGGCGCCGTCACCRCACAGGAGCCCTTTGCTCTTGCGTCTCTCTCTGCTGCGGCTGCAAGAGCGGCAACGGGGCACGGRAAGCAAAATTAATCGCAGTAATATGGGTCAGGTCACCTCCCAAGACCAGAGCCACCACCCCCTGCGCTCCCAGCCAGGCTGGCAGCGGCTTCTCCACAACCTCAACTGGCCACCTCCATGGGTGCAATGAGTTGCGCGTGCTCAGCTCTCCCACCCGGCAGACCCCCCGGCAGCTTCTGCAGCAGTAAATCACTTTTGCGAGAGGCTGTGACCCGTTTGAGGCACTTTATGCTTAAAATAGCTCCTTATGAGTAATGCGGTTCAGGTGTTTATTGCTAATTAATTAATTCAGTTGCATTGCGCATAGCTAATTAAGGCAGTCTAAGCTAATTCCTGTGGGGTCTTAAAACTAATGGGACGGTTAACGGGGTTGTGTCTCTGCTGATGCAACTTGTTGGGCGATTCCCGGGAGCCAGGATGGTTTATTAGGCTTTGCGTGAGCGTTGCTTAAAATAACACTCTGCTGAAGGTTGGATTTGGGGGCAATCCTTGGAGAGGGCCACTTGGCTCCTGGTGCCAAGCCGTGCTCGTTAATGGGATGTATTCACCCTGGGCTGCATCTCGTGATGAAGGGTCGCTGGGTTGTGCGGTGGTTGGTGGTGCTACAAGCGCTGACCAAGCTCGGGGGTGGTGGCAGCCCTGGTCGCTCTGTTTTTTGATGCACTTTTGCACAGAAGCGGCCTTTTCCAGCCCCAAAAAGCACTGGATACGTGGGGGCAGCAGGACCGTCCCCGCGCAAGCACGATGTGGCATTCAAATCTCCGGCTCTGCAGCTGCAGGTCACAGAACCTCGGCGTCAGCTGCTGAAATTCGTGGCAAAATGGTGCAAAAGGCTCCGTCGGGGCCGGCAGTTCCTTCCCCTCCACGGGGATCACCCACGGGCATCACCCCCCCGGCACCACCCGCACCAAGGACACCACGAAGTCCCCGCGGCCCCTTCCCGGCGGCTCCGCGGATGCCATCGGGGCGCTCACGGCACCTCCCCACGCTGGCGACGCGGCTTTTGCCCCTTTCGCCGGAATATTTCTGTGGGTTTACATGTATTTTTAGCGCTTTCTTTTTCCAGCGGAGCCCGCTCTAAAAATAGGCGAAAGCAGCGGGGCGGCTTCCAGCGGCAGCCAGAGCCCCTCGCCGAGGGATTCCCACGCTCCRGCTGACTCGGAGCGGCCGGGAAGCGCTTGGCACGGCCTCGGCGCTGCCTGTCCCGGCCAGTTTGCAGGGATGGTGCCCGGGAGCCACCGGGATGCTCGGGGTGGGCACTGATGTCCCCAGCTGCAGGGCTGCCCGTGTTCCCCCATGCAATAATCCAATCAAAATCACTTGGATTCATTTCCCCCTCTTTCCCGCCTCTCCGCAGGTGCTGCAGGGGCAGGAGGAGCGCGGGTCCCCGGAGCGGCACGGAGAGGCCCGTTGCGGTAAGGACGCGGCGCCCGCTCCGCCGGCGCTGCCCGGGCAGGGAGCAGCAGGAAGCTCCGGCATCCTGTTGAGCATCCGAACGGCCCCGGTGCTCCGCAGCTGGGAGCCACGCCGGAGGCTCCCGGGGAGGAGGAGGAGGGAGGAAGCAGAGGGCTCTTGCATGCGCTCGCTTTGGCTCTCTGCTAACACCAAGGGCGCGATGGCTTAGCCGGGCTCCTGCTCTTGCAGCCCGTGAGCCCATCCGTGCGTTCCCGGTCGGCAGCGGCGGAGCCGGGCTCGGAGCCGCGAGCGCCGCGCGCCCATGGCGAGCAACAACACGGCGAGCATCGCGCAGGCGCGCAAGCTCGTGGAGCAGCTGAAGATGGAGGCCAACATCGACAGGATAAAGGTGAGGAGGACGGAGAGGCTCTGTGCGCATCCCGCGGCCGCCCGCTCCGGGCTTCCGGACACC